GTGCTTTGATAGAGATTGCATTGAATATGTAGATATCTTTGGGTAATATGCACATTTTAACAATGTTGATTCTTCCCAACCTTGAGCATGGAATTTTTTACATTAGTTAACATCATCAGCTATTTCTTTCCTCAGGGTTCATAATTCTCATTATAGAGGTCTTTCACGTCCTTTAGTATATAAATTCCCATGTATTTCTTCTTCTTTGGCACTACTATAAAAGGAATAGAGTTCTTGACTATATTTTCAGCTTGACTATTGTTGCTGTATATATAAAAGTTACTGATTTCTAAGTACTGATTTTGTATCCTGAGATACTGCTGTATTTCTTGATCACTTCTAAGAACTTTGTAGTTCAGTCCCTGGGATTTTCCAGGTATAAGAATATGTCATCCATGAAGAATGAGAGTTTGATCTCTTCTGACCCCATTTGAATATCCTTGATCCCCTTCTCTTGCCTGATTGCAATGGGTAGGACTTCCATTACTATGCTGAATAGCAGTGGTGGCAAAGGACATTCTTGACTAGTTCTAGATCTGAGTGGAAATGTTTTCAATTTTACTCCATTCACTATGATACTGGCTGTGGGTTTGCTGTAGATGGCCCCTATCAGTTTAAAAAATGTCCCATATAAGCCTATTTTCTTAAGTATTTTAACCATGAAAGGATGCTGGATATTATCAAAAGCCTTTTCTGAATTAATTGATAGAATCATATGGTCTATCATGTGGTATATTATATTTATAGATTTGTGTATGTTGAACGAAACCTGTAACCCTGGGATAAAACTAACTTGATCATGGAGTATAATTTTTTTGATGTATAATTGAATTCTGTTTTCTAGGATCTTATTGAATATTTTTGCATTGATATTCATTAATGATATTGGTCTATAGTTTTCTTTCTTTGTTGGGTCCTCTCCTGGTTTGGGGATACATGTGATATTTGCTTTGTAGAATGTGTTGGTGAGGATTCCTTCTTTTTCTGTGTTTTAGAAAAGGTTATGAAATATAGATACTAGTTCCTCTTTAATGGTTTGGGAGAATTCTGATGTAAAGTCATCTGGTCCCAGACTTTTCCTTTTTGGGAGATTTTGTACAGTTGATGCTATTTCAGTGCTTTATATAGTTCTATTCAAAATTTCTAATTCTTTCTGGTTAAGTCTAGCCAAGAAGCATGCTTCTATGTATAGGCCCATTTCATCCAGGTTTTCATATTTCTGAGAATAGTTTTCTGTAGTAATCATTGAGGAATTTTTGAATTTCTGTGGTATCTGTTGTTATTTCTCTTTTATTGTTTCTGATTGACTTTATTAAAGATTTTACTTTTCTGTTTCTGGTTAGGGTAGCCAAAGGTTTATCAATTTTATTATTCTTTTCAAAGAACCAACTTTTTATTTTGTTGATCTTCTGAATGATTCTTTAGTTTTCGATTTCATTCAATTCTGTTCTAGTTTTGGTTATTTCTTTTCTTCTGCTGGGTTTGGGATTGGATTGTTCCTCCTTTTCCAGTTTCTCGAGATTGTTGATTTTCTCTCTTTCTGTTTTCTTTCTGTTTTAGGTTGTTGATTTTGTCTCTTTCTGTTTTCTTGATGGAGGTTTCTAATGCTATAAATTTCCCTCTTATGACTCCCTTTGCATCCCATAGTTTTTGATAATTTATGTCTTTATTATCATTGTTTCCAAAAATTTAATGATTTTCTTCTTAATCTTGTCTTTGACCCAGCTATCATTTAGCATATGGTTATTTAGTTTCCATGAGTTTGTTTGAGAATGAAGATTTCCACTGCTATTAAGTTCAACTTTTATTCCATGAAGGTCCAAGAAGATACAAGGAATAGTTTCTATTCTTTTAAATTTGTTGAGGTTAGACTTGTGTCCTAAGATATGATCAATTTTGGAGGATGATCCATGGGCTGATGAAAAGAATGTGAGTTCAGTTTTATTAGAATGAAATGTTCTGTAGATGTCTGTTAAGTCCATTTGTCCTAGGGTTAAGTTTAAGTCCATTTGTTTTTGTTTGTTTAGTTTCTTCTGACAGAGTGGTGTCAAAAATCTCCAAATGTATAAGAAGAAATCAAATTGTTCACATCCATTAGGGTTTGCTTTATAAATGAGGAGAATTCAGGTAGGGCACATAAATGTTAATTATTAAAATGTCTTCATGTTCAATGTTTCCCTTGACTAATATGTAGTGTCCATTCTTGTTTTTCCTTATCATTATGGCTTAATACCTATTGTATCTACAAATTACAACCCTTGCTTTTTTCTAATTTGCATTTGCCTAGATTATAGATGTCCATTTCCTTCACCCTGAGTCTTTTCTTGTTCTTTGAGACAAGATGTGTCTCTTGTAGGCAACAGATACCTGGCCTGAGTTTTTGTATCCAGTCAGCCAACCTGTGCCTCTTTATAGGACAATTTAAGCCATTTCCATTAATTGAGAGAATTGATAGGTATGATAGCATTTTGGCTATCATGTTTTTCAAAGGTCCAGTGCATATTTTTAATCCCATCACCATTGTGGAAGTTAGTTGTGTTGTTTTGTTTTGTTTGATAAATTCTGGGTAAGTTTACTTTGGTGGTGGACCATCGTCCTGGTTATTATGGAAAATGGATCTGAGTATTTCCTGGAGAGCTGATTTAGTTATGGCAAATTTCCTCAACATGTGTATGTCAGTAACGTATTTGATTCCTTCATCACAAATGAAATTCCGTTTAGCTGGATACAGGATCCTGGGCTGAAAGCTGTTTTATTTGAGAAGATTGAAGGTTGATGACCATCCTCTTCTGGCTTGAAAAGTTTTGGCTTAAAGATCTTCAGTCATTCTAATATTTATCCCTTTGTAAGTAATACTTTTCTTACATCTGGCTGTTTGCAGGATTTTCTCCTTCATTTTAACTTTGGCAAAGTTAATTACAATGCGTCTAGGTGATGCTTTATTTGGATTGAGTCTTCCTGGGATTCTGAAACTATCCACTCTCTGAATTCCTGTGTCGCTTGCAATACTTGGAAAATTCTTGTCCATAATATCTTGGAGTAGAGCATCTGTGCCGTTAGCACCATCCTCTTCTTCAGGAATTCCTCTAAGTTGGATGTTTGATCTTTTGGAACGATCCCACATTCTCTTAGGGAATGTTCTGTTATTGTTTTACATTTTTATGCCTCTTTGAATGCTTGGGATTGCTCAAAGGCCTTGTCTTCAGTTTCTGAGATCCTTTCTTCCACCTGCTCAACTTTATTACTGAGGGATTGCACTGTATTGCAATGCTCCTTAAGTAATTTTTTCACTTCCTTCAGCTCTGCTATATCTTTTCTCATTATGGCCATATATTTGATGACTTTGTCTTTGAATTCATTAGTGTCTTGAGACAACATTTGAACTACTCTTTGGATTTCTATTTCCATCTTTTCCTCCATTTTATTCATCTTATTTGCCATCCATATTCTGAATTCTGTTTCTGACAAATCAGCCATTTGACTATGAATGACATCTTCTGTTGTTATCTCCTTTGTCATTCCTTGGGGAGTTGATCTACTCTGATTATTTATGTTGCTAGAGTTCTTCTGCTGGTTCCTCTGCAGGAGTATTTTCTTCAATTTGGCAATTAAAACTGGTAGTGTGAGATTGGATTCAGGACCCCAGGAAGTGGAATTAACTAGCCCTTTACTAATGAGTTTGGGCTTATGATTGTGGCATTTCCCTTACAGCCTTACAAAGGTCCCTTTCAGAGCTGCACCTAGAGACTCCAAGGATCTGCTTGGTGAGATAGCATAAGCTGGCTCTATGTTGAAGTCAGCCATACTCTACCCAATCCTAACGAGTTGTAGTATTATATTGAAATCTCAGCTAGGGAGAGATACAAGAAACTACTGCATCCTACCCTCCACCAGTGACAGCTGGAGGAGGACAAACAGTCCTTTCCCACTAGAAAACAACCATTGCTCACCCTCAGAGAGTCCCCAGGTGGACAACCCAGGTCAAGAGTTCTAACCAGATTGTCCTGGGCAATACAATCACTGCTCAACAGGAAGAGTTTAAAGGATCTCCAACAGCCCAATAGTAAAAATCCACAAGTAGTTCCATCCCTCAAACCCAAATGCATGCAGTCTAGACCTCTCCAGTGAGCCACTGAGTCTGAAAAGATTCCCTCTACACACTGTCACAGCACATTTCTCTCCTGTGTAGCCCTCTCTTCCCGCACTCCTCAGCTTCCACTCAAATCATGGTTTCAGTGCTACTGTTCAGTGGCTCACACAATGCTCAGACCTCTCAAGGAATTGCCAAACACTTTGGGCTCTACAGGGGGCAGAACTTCAAACCACCAAGTGAAGGGGAAAGGGTGGACTAGGAGTTTAGAATTGTGGGGAAAATATTTTTTAATTTTATGCCAGGCAGGAAGATGCTAAGGCTCACAAGTGGGACCTCCCTGGAGAAGGAGACCCAGTGTTTATCAGCTTTTTCCTGTGGGGTAAAATGAGAGATCTTTTTTTTCCTGCTTGCTTACAGAGAGCCCACAGAAAGCCTCCCACTTAGAGGAGCCATCTCTTGTCCTCTTGGCAATGGGCTTTGTACCCATAATATGTTTTCTTTGATCCTCTTTCTTAGAGTTGTAACTTGCCTCAGCAGAGATGATGTGCACTTGTCTATCTTTTTTCTTAGCTCAGCTGCCCACCTTTGGTTTTACTAAGTCCCCTTCTGTCCAGTATTTCTCCCTCTGGAGCAGAGCCTCTGGTGAATGCTGCCTCTAGTCAGCCATCTTCCTTTCTCTCCAGACTAAAGATGTTTACTCTTAATAATTGATACAAATAAGATGAAAAATGCAATAGACGAATACATAGGATAAATACTTCTTCACAAAAGGGGGAAAACCAATAAACATACCTTTTTACTGATCAAAGTATCAATAAGTATATACTTTAACAATATTTAAGGAATCCATAGTATAATATTTTATTAATATTCTAGAAAATTCCAGGTAGTCAGCAAATGTAAAGGCTTTTATTAACATGTCAGTAAAATTCAGTTTTCTCATTTTTTCCAGCTTATGTGGTATTTAGCCTATGTGTGATCTCTCTACTTGGAAGAGGGATGAGATACAATTGGCAGTATCCCATATTCCCATACATTATCCATGGAAATCCAGAATGTCTTGGAATTTTCTAGATTTCATATATAAGAAATTATGCTTTATCTGCATTGAGATGTATTTTTAATTTTAATGTGAAAATGAATGATCAACATTGTTCAACATTTATTTTTGAAGATACTCTTAAATGATTGATAGTTATGCCTCCACCACTATGAAACTCAGAGTATTATTAAAAAGAACCTTCCCCTCTTTCTTTACACTAAATTCAGGCTCTTGTAGATCTTTCAGAATTTCAGCTTTGAGATCAGGTGGTGCTGTTGTGCTGAAGTTGCAAGTTTCAGTCAAAAAATCCATAAGCAGGTCTCCATTTTCATTGCCATCAACAAAACAGTCAGATATGTCCATGGTTGACAGAAGGTCATAACATTCATACTTCAATCCCAGGTTGCACAGCATCTGAGTGAGGTGGGACGATGTGACGTACAGGCAGAGGTCATCATGGGGAAGGCGGGATCCGTACTTTTCCCACAGCTTGTTCCAGCCACTGGTTCCTGCGCAACAGAGCAAAGTTCATGCTTTCATGTATTTTTTCTTTCATTTGCCTTCTGCCAGATAGTACACTAGATGCTTTGAATAAAGAAATGAACAAAATCATATTCTTTCCCTTTGTGAAACTTTAAAACTCAAGGGGTATGGAGGGAGAAAGAAAATTAAATAAATAAGTAAATATATATTAGATGATGATAAATGCTAAATCAAAAAATTAAACTGAGTGACAGATAAGGAGGCTTAAAAAATTGAATTGGTTGCTATTTTAGCTATGGTGGTCACAGAGGATCCCTCTAATAATGTGACTTTTCAGCAATGACTGAGAGTAAACCATGTAAATATCAGAGGGACAATGACTTCAGGGGGAGATAAGAACACCTGCAAAGGGCCTGAAGCAGGAGCATGCTTGGCATGTGAGCATGGTGAGATTATAGGTGAGTAAGGAAAGGGGAGAGATTAAAGAGATGAGTTTGGATGGGTGGTGGGGAAGGGAATAAGGTATCAGATCATGGGGGTGGTGGAGAGGCAAGATGGAAAATCACCATAGTGCTTCTAATACAGCTTCATGGACCAATGAACATGTTTCAAATCTGCATTGTCCCATATGATGACCATTCACCCTTGTGGCTATGAAGCACTTGAAACATGGCTAGTGTGATAGAGAAACTGAATTTTAAGTTTGATTTCATTTTGATTAACTAAAAATCAAAATTGAAAATCCAAATGTGGCTTCCATACTGGATAGTACAACATTAGGCTGACTTAACTTATGTTTTAATAAAACCACCCTGGGCATACCTACGAGATTAGATGATGGGGGTATAAGGTGTGTGGGGAGAAAAATGTGAAGCTTCCTTCAATCACCTGGGGTAGGAGTGAGTTACCACAGACCAGTGAACACAAGTTCATGGAGTTTTTAGAGAACCTAGATCCAACAGGGCTTACCAATCATTTGGATTATAGGATGTAGGCAAGAGAAAAGAGTCAGTGAAGATCCTAGTGATTTTCAAGAACCTGAAAAGACAGGGTTGCCATTCTTGAAGATGAGAAGAATGAGGGCAATTTTAAATATATCCCAAGGTCTCTGAGTTTGGGATTGTAAATTTGATATACTGTTAAAGATTCAGATTATGATATGAAGGAGGTAGTTGTTTGCAATTATTTCTATCTTATAATAGCATGTTAGTTCTATTTTTATTTTTGCACATGTGCTTTATACAAGTGGCCATAATTTGCTCTGCAGAGTATTGAACACATTAAATTGGAGAGGCTGTACAAGTAAAAAGGGAAAGGGAAAAAAAGAGAGGAGTATATAAATTGTGATGTTGTCAAACCAAGGATTGGGGTAGGCTCTTATGCCCACCTACCACTGAAAAGATGCTTCCTTGGACTTTTGATAACTAGGTTGAGTTCTACAAATTTTTTCCTCAATTTTAGAAGACATTTTAGCAATGTCTGTCGCACTTAATTGGAAATGCAGCCCTTCAGAGAAGCTAAGAGATGCACTAGTGCATGAGAGAGAGAGATTGGTAGAACTCTTCTGGCACTTTATAAATTAAATCAGCCTTATTATTTAGTTTCTCATAGCTTCAGTTTTCTCATATGTAAAATGGGAATACCATACTTACCTTGCATGCAACAGCAAGCATGAAATTAGATAGACGATATAAGTGAATTATTGCACCATAGTAAGCACAGGGCAGACGTGTAATTAGTACTTACAAAACAAATGATTTTGTTTGCTAGTTTTTTTCCATTGGTTATAATCTTGAGACTGAAAATGCAAACCTGCTGTTGAGAAATCTAGGTAGTAATAATAATAAGCTTCGATGTACTTACCTTCTAATACCTGCTTGTTCATTTCTTTTCTTTCTTTTTTTTTTTAGAGCCAGAGTTTCACATTGTTGCCCTTGGTAGAGTGCTGTGCCATCACAGCTCACAGCAACCTCCAGCTCTTGGGCTTAGGCAATTCTCTTGCCTCAGCCTCCTGAGTAGCTGGGACTGCAGGTGCCCACCACAACACCCAGCTATTTTTTGTTGTTGTTGCAGTTTTGGCCACGGTTGGGTTCGAACTCACCACCCTCAGTATATGGGGTTGGTGCTCTACTCACTGAGCCACATGCACCATCCAATACCTGCTTGTTCTATACAGTCAGCATGGGGCAATAATTGAGAGCATGGGTCTCTGAAACCCAACTAGCATAGTATGAAGCCTGGCTTTCCCTCTAATTAGCTTTTCAAACCTGTGTCTCAGTTTTATCATCTGTAAAACAGGAAGGATAATATATTCATAAAATTGCTGCAAGAATTAACTGAGTTGATAAAAACAAAAGCACTTAGGGCAATGACAGGCATATAGTAAACATTGCCAAAGTGACAGGAAATTACACTGGACTTGGCCAAAGCAATTTAAGGGAGAACCTATATTTTTCTATGTACTTCCAGAATTAAAAGTGAAGATGTCAATGGCTTGCGTTTTTTTGTGTTCCCAAGTCATTTTGATGAACAAATGAAAGTAATTAACTCTCCAGAAAAATACACAAATGATACATATGCGCATAGTCTGCATGTAATTATAGAATGTTCAAAGACCCTTGGTTCTCTATAGTTTAAGCTAACATTCTGAGATTTAACTCAACATAAGAGATTACCAAGAGAGGAAATGGTAAGTAATAAATAGCCTAGGATGACTGATGCTATATCAGTATTTCAGAAAAGAAAGGAGTAACTATAGGATATGCTTTAGGAGACAGTAGAATTGGAATGAAGCAAAAAAGAAAAAAAGAAAACCTCAGTTCAATTTAAAAAGTAAGGTTTTGGAGTATGTATTAAAGAATCTTTCATGTCAAAGACAGCAGATTGTCTTCCTAAATAAAAGTCCGCTTGCAAACTAGATTTTATAAGAAAATAAGCATTTTTTTGGCTTATCACCTGTGACTCAAGCAGCTAAGGCACCAGCCACATACACCTGAGCTGGCGGGTTGGAATCCAGCCTGGGCCTGCCAAACAACAATGATGGCTGCAACCAAAAAATAGCTGGGCATTGTGGCAGGTGGCTGTAGTCCCAGCTACTTGGGAGGCAGAGGTAGGACAATCACTTGAGCACAGGAGTTGAAGGTTGCTGTGAGCCGTGATGTCACAGCACTCTATCCAGGGCAACAGCTTGAGGCTCTGTCTCAAAAAAAAAAAAGAAAAGAAAAGAAAAAAAGAAAACAAAAGAAAAAGAAAACCTTTGTGGCCTAAGAAAGGTTTTGTTATCATTATCATTATTATTATTTCTAACTTGGCAGAGAAAAAAGAAGCAAACACTAATTGCAGAAAATTTGCTGGTGTCAGTGCTATGACTGAGTGCCATTTCTGAGCTGAGCAATTACACACTCCCTGACACGTTATCATAATGGTTCTCAGTAGGCACAACATATGGTGTTGCTTTTGTTTTCAACATGACATAAACTAAATCCTTTTTTCCCTCCACTGTATAACACACCATGATTTGCTTCCTTCATTAGGTAAAAAGAGGACAAACAGAAAACTTCAGGGCTGGCTCATCTCCCTTAACCAGATTGGTTGCCTTTTAAAAACCAGCTGTCCCAACTAATGCTGGGTTACATTTGCAGAAAAACATACCACTGATATCATTTCAGGGTGGAATAATCTGCACTTTTAGAAAGTCAACTATATTTTTCTTATTTCTCTTCTTTTTTATCCCCAAATCAATTTTCTTTCATCATCATAAAGGGAATTTCTTCTAGTTAACACTAACTGAATATTACTGAGCTGAGCTAGTTCTGTAATACTTAGGAACACACAGGAAATGTTGTTTTACCTCAAGCAATGTGTATTCTAATATATACATTGTCTTTGTTGGGTGGATATTCAGAGCTAACTATTGTTTTAATGTCAGAAGGTAGAAATAATAAACAATTATTCAGTTCAATTAAACCACATTTATTGTGTATTGTCTATGCATCAAAATCTTTGCAAAGATCTGGAAATAGAGATGAAAGGCAGAGTCCTTGGTCTCAAAGACCTCTTAGGAAACTCTGATAGGAAGTTTCCTAACTTCCTATTCCACTGCTGAAAGTGTTTACATGTCTGAATCCTCCCTTACTTAAGTTAGGAGCTTTTCAAAGACAGAAAAAAAGTAATAGTTATCTTTGAAAACATCAGAGCCTACCAGTGACTGATTGTAGAATGCAGTAAGCTGCACTCACTAGACCCACCTGCCTACCACCCTATGCAGGAAATATGGCACTGAGAGCACAGGCTGTGATGAATTATGGTGCCTTAGCCAAACTAGGTGTTGTGCATAATTAAGTCTGGAAACTGACTCCATATTTCATTATATTAAAATCTAGCAAATTTCAAACAGGAGTGTCCATATGGTACTCAAATAACTAAGTAATTCAGTCTATTCAGAGAAAGACCTCATTAATTCCACATTAAGTCAGGACAGAGATTGGCGAAGCAAGAACTTGAGCTGTGTGGCATAGTGAAGATGACCATTTACCCAGACACAACATTGATCTACCTAGATTAGATCATGGCTAGATGAGTGCTCTTAAAAATTTAATTTAGGGAATGTGTCTATAGTGAGTGCTCAGTTTTCTGTGTGGAGGAGCACCTGTGAATGACACTATGGGCAACACAGGAAATATACACAGAAGTGTCATCACTTTTAGATGATTATGATGCAAATTCCATTAGGCAAGGGGCCACAAGCATCTTGATAAAAACAAAGCTTGTGTGAATAATTTTGGTGTAGGTGTCCCAAGTTTTAGGACAATATGCTAATTTTAGAAATGTTTGAATCTGCCAAGTAGATAGAGAATGGAGTTTTAAGATTTATGGTTTGGACTAATCAGTCAAGTTAAGCAATGGTTCCTAAACAGGGGAAGAGGGCTAAAAATAATACTTCAAATGATAAGATTTCTCAAGATTTTTTTCTATCTACAGACACTAGATTAGCAAATAGGGATTTGAAACTATCTTCAAATGACAGTGATGACTAGTAATAATGTGGCTCATTCCTACACATTTGCTAATATTGATAAAAAAATTCCTACTGGAAATTTCTTATGCTTAAATTTGTTTGCAACTTTGGAAGCTAGGCTTGATCTATTTTTCTAAAGGCTGACCCACATATTTTTATTGGGTATATTATTACAACAAAGCAATTATTACTTTTTTTAAAAGGAAAATCTACATTCTTACACACTGAGAAGGCAAGAGAATTCATCTCAGGGAAATTTGTTAAGATATGTTCATGGATACATAGGTTTGTTTACCCAGATGACAGAGATAGAGTAAAAAGGATTTTAACTGCTCTAGAAGAGGGCTGGAGCAGGCAGACCAGCACTGAGGTCTGAGAGAAGTTGTGAGAGTAGCTCTAAGGGAAGTGGGCCAGACTGAGCAAGAGAAAAGTGGGAAAGAAGGTGGATGCATGACTTTAGAACACAACAGGATGAGAAAAGGCCACTGCAACACATGCAAGATTTGGAGGAAGTTGGACTGGGAGCAGAAATCTGAAGCCAGCAGTGGCAAGCACCCATCAGAAGCATGTAAACATGACCCCAAGAGTCCTTAGGAGAAAAGTGTGAGAGGGAGATGGACTAGGCAAGTTACATGGAATGAGGGCTCTTATAATCTGGATTTCTAACAGTTGTGAGAGCCTACAGATGGGAAACTGCACACATTCCAGTTCAACTAAATTGACAACAGTGATCAACATTATTTGACTATTCTATTTCTCTTTTCAGGTAGAATCTTCAACTGCAAAGTAAACTATATTGGGAAAGGTATTTCATTTAAAATTAATTTCTGCAATACTTCTGATAAATATGGGCAAAGTGATTTTTTTTTTTTCTTTTTAGCCTCGGAGAGGGAGAAGTGAAAATCCACAATAAAATAACTAAACCTGTTTTCTCCTTTTGCTAAATGGTTCTTCTTTTGGAAGTAAATGGATGTGGTGTGCAAACCTCATCTAAGAAGTACATATGGTAAAGAAAGGCGGTGTCAGGGTCCCTTTAATAAATAGAAAACTGTTATGTCTTGCATTCTTATGTCTACAAACAGTATCTATTAACAATGTTTTCCTCTTTGGAACAGCCATCTCCTGTACTACAAGCAGTAATGAAGAACTGTGAATACAATTCCATGAATACAAATCCATCAAATACATGGATTAAATTACATTTTGATTCAAAATACATTTTGATTCTTTGCTCTCCTTCTTTTAATTTTTCCCCATGAAGGTATATAGATGATATTTATAAGCCACATATACAATAGACATAATATAATGTACTATGGTTATCCAGATATAGCCCTTGAATAAACTGGCATGCAGAGACCAAATTCACACAGCTATAAGTACCTCAGCGTTCTTGCTCCAGGTGTCATTACACATTTCACTGGGTCTATTTTGGTTTTCACATTTCCTGATGTCAAGAAACGATGGATTAAATTAACACATTCATGATGTAGCCAGTAGAATGCTATATCCATAAGAGCACCTGGTCAATTCTCAGTTGCATGTAGACTCCAGACGACACTTCTAAACCCTAGGCTTTTTCTATTAGTAGATAGAGTTCCATAGAAAGCTGCCTTCTGCCACTCAAATATTTAACTTCCGAAAATATTTTAGAATAAGCCAAATATAAATAAAATAGTGGATCCTCTGTTGAGATGAAACATATTCTAAAATCACATATACTTGATTTCTAGATGAATTTCTGTCTACAATACTTTTTTGTACTATTGATGCAGATCAAGAATAAGCTGCCAATGATTTTGATAACTAGGTTCACTTTGAAATTCTAATGCAGCATGCTGCTTTACCCAAGTAGCTCAGAGAGAGGTTAGTAGAAAGAGTCTAGTTTCTAGAAGCCCTTCTAAATGGGATGCCCGACCATTTCAACGTACGTGATTATTTTTAACTAACTGGGGATAAAAATAGTATATTAAAATGTTCCCATGAGGAAAAGGTGTGTACAGGAGCTTTTTATTGCCAAACACAGGATTATAGTCAACTATGTTTGCCTATTAAAGCTATTCCTTGTGTTGAAGAACAAATGAATTTTATGACACATGGTTTTTGAGACTGTGCTCTGGTCTCAACTTGGGATGACAGAGACTACTGTGTATTTAGAATCAATCCACCTAGTACTGGTGGCCAATCCATCAGGATCGCTTAATTGAAGAAGTAATACATGCTGACCTCAACAATGTCAATGTTTCATTTTCCAGACATGCTTATTTGTGTTCTCTGTATAGTCCTCACTAGATCCCTGACAGCAACACGACCTAATCAAATGCCTCCTTTGGAAAATAAAACAACACCATAAAACAAAACAAGGGAGCTCTTCTTGATAGGTATTTGAGAAAAACTACAATGAAGAAGTTTATAATGGCTCTAGGAATCCATATTAATCAAATATGATGGGATCTAAAAATTTAAACCTATATTTACTTACTAAACATCAGAGAGGTAAAACACTCAAGGGACATAAAGTAGGTACATATAAATTTTAACTACTTTTAGTCTCATTTAAAAACTTTTATCAGTTACACTTACTCCAAATTATATAATAGAAACTTAAAAGACATATTTTTCCAAGTGAAAGAAATAAATGTTTAATCCCACTACATCTCCTAAATTGAAAGTTCCCAATACTATGAAAATTAATTAACTATGATCAGAAGCAACGGCAAGCATTTCATAATGAAGACAAAATATACCAGCTTCCTTTAAATACATGAATCCATGCACATATGCACTATTGCTATTTTAAAATTTAGGATGAATTAAAGTAACTTACCTGACACAAGAATAATAAGAATCTTAGCATTGGCACCTAAGAGACTATGGAAGAATTTTAAGGTAGCTGGGATGTCTTTTACATAATACAGCATCTAAAAAGGAAGAAAAAGAAAAATCAGATGCTTTCTATGTTTAAGTCTTTATTGTTTGGATGAAACACTAGAAATTTTGATTTTCTAGCTGAGCAGATTTTTACCCAACAAAACACTTAAGAAATTTAAAAGTTTAAGGTTTCAAATAAGGAGACAGAAAAATAATGTGAGAAAATATTTTCAAAAGGGGAAAACCATAGTATTTCCTCAAGTAGAATCAAATGGTTTAAAATCTACTCTTTCTGGCTCCCATAACACAAACAAATAGCTGCAGACACTTAGTCACCAAGCCACATGAGGACATTGATCCTACGCCTATCCTATAATTTGTGAATTGCAGTTCTTCTGAGAGAAAATGGTTCCAGCACTATAAAAACAGACCCTATTTCATGGAACGTTGCTTTAAAATTAAGCCCTTTGCACTGACTTCTCCATATGCTCACAGATGCTTTTTGAAAATTACAGAAAAATGTGACAGACTCTGAGCCTGAGAGATTCTCTAAGAAATTGGATTGGATAAAGCAGGAGGTTAAACACTTGGTCACAGGGTCAGGGGTCAGCCCATTTAATTTTAATAATTCTAGACCACTCCCTAGCGAAGTGCAAGCTTTTTCACCCAACACGTAGAGCTTAGAATTTTGCACTGGCCATGTGAAATTTTCCCTAATGGGTTGTATCCCTGACCTCCACCCCCAGAGACACTTCTTATATCTCATCTTTGTCTCTCTTGGACAGAATGCAAAATTCAGTGTAGCATGCTTATAACAGAATTCATTGCACAAAGGGAAAATATTTTAAATTATGCCTCTTTCACATGAATGAATGACATAAAATAGACCTGCACATGGCCCTTGGTGCTTCAGGCACCACACTCTTCTCTGTCTATCACAAGGACCATAGACAGCTAGCCAAATACAGCTTTTCCATAAGATCGCTAACAATCTATGATATAACCTGGCTGAAAATGAGGAAGTCGGCCATTGCAGATAATGTAAATTTCTCTCCAGGAGAAAGTGAGATTTTCCAGGTTGACAGAGACTATTAAGTTGAAAAAATGTCATGAGAGCATTAAAACTATTAGGGGCAATGAAAAAACAGAAACTGAACAGAAAAAAAAAGGGGGAACAAAGAGGGAGAGGGGACTAAGAGAGTGACACCAAGAGAAACAGAGTTGTTATAAGAACGAAAAAACAAACATGGAAGTTTTGAGAGGAAAGGAGCTCATGCCTGAAACCACAACATTTAAAACAGAACAATGGGAACCAAGGTGTTAAGGGAGGGACTGACTTTGACCAGAGGAAGTTTTGTAAAGCTGTGGAAGAAGGAAATGATGAACACAAATGCAGCTGTTTGTAAGTTTAGGAGATGAAAGGCTGTTTCCATGTGATGGTTTCTTTCTTCTCATGACAGTATAAAGTGGAGTTATTTGTTCAAAATGAGTGGTGGAGGACACATTGCAGGAGAACTAAGAAGAGAGGGTAGTTATGAAACAAGTTACACGAGTAAGTGAGTAAGACAGCAAATCTACTAGAGAAACAGCCTGGGTTGCTAGGCAATGTGAAGTCCTCCCTGCTAGGCAAAAGATGTTAGTTAAGGGAGCAGAAAGTGGATTGATTGCCTGTATATATCAACACATCAACATGCATTCATTTCTTCCTCTGATTTCTTGCAAGTTTATTCTTTTGAGGTGACTATGGTTGTGAACTATGGGCAGAAAAATGTGTTGTATTGTTAATCAAGTGGTATTTCCAAAATATGTACATCTGCTGGTAGCTAACTCTTAAAGTCTATACATGTCACAGTATTTATGCTTGCTATTCAGAAATATCAGTGACCCTGAAAATCCAGCCCAAGCCATCTGCTCAACAGTCACCATCCCTCCAAGCTATGCATGAGTTAGCCTGTTTGCTCTGGACTGTGGGAGTAAAATTTTATTGATCCAAGGCATCATCTAACCTGCCCTTTTCACCATATGTCTACTAGCCCAGCCACCTGCAGCCAAAACAAGAGAACTCAGAAACTCTCTGGGAGGTATATGCATCCAATTACATCTTTCAGAAAAACTTTAGGACATTGCTCCACCCAGTCCATTAGAGACTACTAGAGAAACATGTAGGATATGTTACCACTCTATCATCCTCAAATCTATGAACAAACTTTCAATGCTAGAAAAATGAATTAAGCTGACATTTTTAAAACTTGATAACTAGGAAAGTATTTTGAGCAAAGAAAACTGGCTTAATATTATCAACATCTTTATCCTCTATTTGAATAGATCATGGTCACTTGTAAAATTAGAAATCAAAAGATTTTCATTTTTCTTTTAAGTTTAGAATGGTAGGCATTCTTCACACATATTCTTGAAGAATCTCCTTTCTGAGTATATATTGTAACAAATATTTCTTACCTGAATCATATGAATAAAGTCCCACTTTTGAAGCTCTTTTTTCTCCATTACTCTATTTTGATATTCTGATGATGTCTCCTTATGCCAAGTAAACTTTATGTTCTCGAGGTTTGATGTCTTGGCTACAAGCTCTAAAATACAGAGAAGAGGTGGCCCACTATCAATTTTAATTGCAAATATGAAACCCATTTCCATTTAGAATTTTAATGCAATCAATGTTATATACTTGTTATATACAATTTTTCTTTTTTTATGTAGCTCTGGGAGATCAGAGAGTTCATCCTTCCTTTTTGCTAGAATTAAGTGAAATTAGAGGTGAAAAGAAGAGTCAATAAGAAATAACTATAAGAATACTAGGAAGACTTAAGTTATATTGTCTTATTCTTAATGGAGAATCAACTGGTGAGTTTTACAATGGAAAGTGAATATAAAATAGGTGATATATGTGTACTTATGTAATTCAAGAATAAGAAAACCACAGCCCTGGGCTGTATCTTACCTGCCACCTATTTCTGCATGGACCACAAGCTGAAAGCATATATTATTCTACTTCCTGACTTTGTAGTAACATGTCATGCTTCATGTAATTACATTTTTAAATGGTTGAAAAAAATTAAAAAGAAGTATATTTCATATGGGAAAATAATAAGAAATTCATTTGTCAGTGTTTATAAATGAAGTTTTATTGAAACATACCCAGCTCATTAGTTTACATATTGTCTATGGATGACTTTGGGCTGCATAGAAGAGTCAATTAGTTGTGACAGAGACTATGCAGCCTTCTGAGTCTAAAAATTTACTATTTGACCCTTTTCAGAGATAGTTTACTGACTCCTACTGTAATCCACTAAATATAAGCTCTTCCAGGACTTTGTTTAAATTTTTCCAAATCAGTGCATATATCCCTAAGAATAAACATCAAAATAATAGTCAGTGACAACTGGAGAATGGATAAAGAGCCAATAGAAAAAAAGGAGTCTAATTGCTTATTATTCATATTTTGAGATATTTAGTCATGACTGCCAAGAAATTATTAGGTCTTTCTCCCAATAAGCTTGCAAAGAGCATATACAACATTAACTACATTATTAATCATTCAAAAGAATAATCTATATTGATAAGTCATTTTGGATAGAATTTAGCGTAAGAACCATGATTCATAGGTACCTTTGTATTTGGCAATTTGTTCAGCACTTGGCTCAACAACTTCATTGTTGATAAGAACTTCTGGGTATTGAGCCTGGACTTTAGAGAGAATTTGGAGATCAATTTCACCTGGAAGATAAACATATGGAATAGGTCACACTATTCCAGCAAGAAATAATTAAGGACAATTTGAGTTGATTCATTACCTGCCCTACCTTTACTAGGAAAGCATGGCATAAATGAAGAATAATGTTCAACTGTCACCCTGTCACCTCTGATGCAGAACAGCTAGATTTTAAGCAGGAATAATAATGAATAATAATGTGATTTAAGGAGGCTAATGAGTAACATTCATTCATTCATCCATTAATTCATATAATCTTTATTTAGTATCTACCATCATATTTCATTAACTAAAAGATGCATTGATTTTAGGAGTTGATAAACCTTTATTTTTGTTTCACTAAATCAGAAAAAAAAAACCATCAACTGTAATTTTAAGATTTTAACAATTGGAGGACATAACTTAATATCAAAGATATCTAAATATGAAAAAAAAATGCACCTAAGAACTAATAAACTAGACTAGGCCAGAAGAATCCCTCCCCTAAAAAAGAAAAATGTGAGATTAAAAACTATGTTAGGTACAAATGAAGGGGGAAATATATCACACATTTTCCCTCAAGAGCACCACTGTCTAGAGGAAGAGACAGAAATAATCCTAGCTGGGTCAGGCCAAGGTGGAAAGAGGGAAGGGGACACTGAGGGAGAGGGTGGCAGAAGAGGCCCGGGTTACGTAGACCTTCTTGGAGGAAGAGCACGCTTGAGCTCTGCCTGTCTCAAGTAAGAATAAGGGTTAGCTCAGAGATTTGGGAGAAGTAAGGGATTGCATGTAGAGGAAACAGGATGACAGAGACATAAGGTCAAGGAATAGAAAAGTATGCCTGAAACTACTAACAGTTCAAAGTTCTTAGAATATTGGGCAAAGCAAGGCCTCCAAGAATGAGGTGATCCCAGAGAGGTAAATGGAGAAGATATTGTGGGTTGAGTAGATACTTATTCACCCACCAACTTTTAATTCACTACTTTCCATTTGCCAAGTACTGTACTAGGCTCTAGGAAATGATGATAAGAAAATCAAGTAGATCCCTGCTTTGACAAAATTCAGCCCATAAGTGATAGCATAAAAGAGATGATGGTGAAGTCAGGTGGACTTGAGTTCCAAACCTGTCTTCTCTGTTTACTATGTGTATATGATTTGGGGCAATTTGTTTTACCTCTCCAAGCTTCATTTTCCTCACCATAAACAAATAATAATAATAGTAGCTAATTTATTAGTCATTAGGGTTAAATGATGTAATGCATATGATACAGAGTGCAAAGTAGAGTTGGAACCCAGTGAAAGTTAGCGGCTCCTTATTTTTATTATTATCGTTGAGTCCTCTGTCTCTCTATCTGTCCTCTCCCTATTGCTAATGCCTCCAACTTAAATTTTGTACTTCTATTATGCAGGTTAGGTTATGATGCTGACCTTCATTAAAATGGAAATACTCCTGGCTAGATTAGCATGGGAAAGTGATGTTAAGCATTTGGCATAAATGACATTAACAGAACATTTTCAGAGTTACACACAGCATGCAGCAAAATATAAATTTTAAGACTGGGGGGTGTGGAAGGAAAGCGATTAAGATGATAAACCAGGCACTGAAGGTGCTAGACTAGGAATAGAGGGCAGGCAAAGGCCATATAAAAGCCCTGAATACTGGCAATAAAACATGGTGGGTGTGGTGTGTATGAAGGAGTGGGAGGAGGTCATGTGACAATTTTCTCCAAAGCCAGCTCTACTTACATGAAATCGTTTATTCCTCCCCCTACTAACTGTAGCTGCCACTCATTTGCCACCTATTATTTAATATCTGTGCTATGGCCTGGAATGTCTCACTTAAATCCTGACAGCAAGCTCCACAATATTACTCCAACTGGATAAGGTGATTTGAGTATTTTGAAAATCAGGGGATATTAATAATCCTAAAGTTTAAGGCATGTCTCTGCATATATAAAGGGGTACTTCTTCTAACTACTTCATATTAAGAAGTAAAAAGATATCAAATACTAAAATGACATGAAACATCTTTTATTCTTCTGCATGGCAATTACTTTGAAGAAATAAAAAATGACTAAGGGAAAGGGCTGATAAGAATAGTAGTGAGCGAATGGGAAATATAGATTCCAGCTCGCCCCAGGGAACCAGAAGCCAAAAGTTTCTGGTTTTGCCTTGTATCAGTCTAGCCATATATTTTATATTAAAAGAAATCATCAACTTTGAAGATATTGAATTCAACATTTTGAAAGAGATAACGGAAATGTAATTATTTCCCTCAAGGATTTTATGAGATCTCCTTCTCCAAAGATGACCCAGACATCTCAGATCAGCCCAAATGGCAGAATGCACCTAGCATGCTATGGGGAGTGTTTAGAGTCAGGCAGTCTCTCCTTCTAGGGCAGTGACATAGCATACAATGCTAGAATCACAAATGACCTTTAGAAATGATGAGGCTGTGTAACAACCTCTAGAGCAGCCATTTTCAACCTGTGGGTTGCCACCCCTTTGGGGGTCGAACGACCCTTTCACAGGGGTTGCCTGACACCATCCTGCATATCAGATATTTACATTATGATTCATAACAGTAGAAAATTACAGTTATGAAGTAACAATGAAAATAATTTTGTGGTTGGGTTCACCACAACATGAGGAACTGTATTAAAGGGTCACAGCATTAGGAAGGCTGAGAACCACAGCTCTAGAGTATCAGCCCATATGTGCTACTAATCAAAGTACTTAGAATATTGGGCAAAGCAAGGCCTTTGCCTAATGAATGAGGTTTTAAAAGATAAGATGATGAAACAATTCCTCAAGACTCAGTACATAAAATCTATTTCTGGGGCAGCGCCTATGGCTCAGTGGGTAGGGCGGCAGCCCCATATACCAAGGGTGACGGGTTTGACCCAGCCCTGGCCAAACTGCAGCAAAAAATAGCCAGATGATGTGACAGGCAGCTGTAGTCCCAGCTGCTTGGGAGGCTGAAGCAAGAGAATTGCCTAAGCCCAGGAATTGGAGGTTGCTATGAGCTGTGATGCCATGGCACTCTACCAAGGGTGATAAAGTGAGACTCTGTCTCTAAAAAAAAAAATCTATTTCTGACTTCACAAGTAGAGTGACCATACTTCCTGTGTGCCTGGAAAAGTTCCATTTTATGCCTGTCATCCTAGTGTCCTAACTGTTTTGATTTTGGGTCCTAAATGTTCATTTGAAACTACTTTTTAAAAAGAACTATTTCATAAATTGACCAATATAATAAGCTGTCCAATACATCAATTTTTCAAAAATTGTAAGAATTTTAATTCTTTTAACTATTTTCTCCAACTCTTACTCTCAAGTATCCTAGGCTGTATAATAAATAATATCACCGTACTCATAAGGTGTTTATTTTCTGTGCTATTTTTGTTTTTTATTACAGACACTAGTATTTCTTTTTGTATTATAATGCATACATACATATATGCACATACACACATAAATACACACAAAAGAGTGCTAAAAAGTATGCACATTTTCAGAAAGGAAAAACTGTATCAAGTTATAATACTCAATATATACCAATAGCAAAAAAAGAATACAAGTCACAGTGATCATCTCTTATAATTGCAGAAGTCAAACATGACTTGATTGAGTACTATAGATTTAACCAAGTTTCTCCTTTCTTAAAATGTGTATACATTTTTTGGCAGCCTCTGTATTAATCAAAACAGTTGTTATTGACAGAAGAATAGACAAATAGATCAGTGGAACAGAACAGAGAGCCCAGAACCAGACCTACATAAAAATAGTTAACTGGACACAACAGAGCAAGATAGCGGCTGAGTAACAGCTTCCTTGCAACTGGGCACAGTGAGTCTAGGTAGACAAGACTCCAGGCATCTCTGGCTGGTGGGATCTGCCCATAAACATCCCTTTGAGGGCACAATAAGTCAGCAAGAAACTTCTGGACCCCATAAGGAGGACAAAAGCAGTGGAAAACTGGCAAGTGTTTGTGTGTGTTCATTTGGTCTAATCCTGCCGGCAGCTGTAAGTGAGATTGCAAACTGGAAAGGCCTTACCTGTGAGCTGTTTTGGCTTTTTTGGATTTGGCACTCAGTTGAACTACCTTGGGAGAACTTGGGCAAGAGTGCAGAGGACTTGAAGCGTTGTCTATGGCCCCAGACTGAGCTGCTGAGCCAGAAGGAGCTAATAGTGTCCCAATGTGAGCCCTGCAGAGCCATTGTGGGACAAGTGCCCCAGCAAGCTCTGCCCTCAGGGTCACAGAGCAAGGATTGGGTGGGAGGGAGTAATCTAGTAACTGAGCAGCCTAAAGGCCAAGACTGAGATGCCTTACAGCCCTAGCCCTCAGGGACATCGAGTGAGACCAGTTTTGGCACACTAGGAAAGGGGATACCTACTTCAGGAGTGATCCCAGTGACAAGCGCTTTCCTGGAAAAGCTTCTGTTTAGCCTAGGTTAACAGTGTAAAGAGCCTTTTATGTGGGCTGAGGAGAAATTTAGGCTTTCCACCATGCAGGGTTTGAGAAATCAGCAGAGGCCTCCATCTCCATCTCGAACAGGGTATCAGAATTGTGATTAACATCTCAAACCCCAGAAGATCACCTGTTGCCCAGGCAATATTCAGCAAGATATATATACTACTTTGCTTTTTGTTTTGTTTTTTTCTATCGTTGTTGTTCTGGTTGTTGTTTTGTTTTTTAATTTCAACATTTTCCTTGTAGATTTTTCTTTTCTTTTTTTTCTTTCTTTTCTTCCTTCATTTTTCTAGTTTAAATATAATTTCTCACTGTTGTCTCTTTCAACATTTAGGACTTCATTTTTACTTGTGTTTCTACCCATATTATTTGTTTTTTCCCCAGTTTTATCCTGTACAGTTTTCTATTTGCTTGTTTTGCTTTTATTTATAGCAGTTTTGTTTTTCCTCTCTACTTTGTGGAGGTGGGGTACTGTGTCTGAACAGGCTAGCAAAGAGCTGCTGACCTCAAGGGAACCACCCAACCTGGCACCCCCAGAGGTTGGGGGTTTTTAAG